AATTCCAAAGGTGAAGGGACCAATCCGTGCGTGGCAGAGATAACGGAAGCTTTTTTGGGTTGATTGGATTATAAGGGGAATAGTGTCAAGATTGATACTTGGGCTTTATTTTTTTTATTTTTTTTTTATTTTTTATTTTTTATTTTTTTAGGGTGACATGTGACTTGAGCGACGTGATAAAGTAATTACGCTGGATTTTGTTGACGAGTTTAAAGCTGCTCTTTACGTTTTAACTGCGGATTTTGTGGAATTTCGTGGACTGGCATTAGGAAAACAATTCAAGGGATGACTTTACCAATCAGTTGATACCTACGAAGTCAAAAAATATGAGTTTTTGTTGTTTGTTATCTTGACAAATAAATTAATGCTGGTACTAGTAAACAAAAAAAAATTACGTGAAATATCTGACAATATTTTTGAATACATTTGAAACAAATCCACTCCTCATTGGAAGTAAAAATGTATTAAAGTAAAAAAATCAATCACTCCTAACAGATTAATTAACAAAGTAAATTCTCAAAATTACCTAAAATACTGGGAACAGGTGGCAGGGTAACAGAAAAAAAGAGACAGTGATGTATAATTTTGCGAGAACGGCATTCTCGTATATTTTTTTTTGTTTTTTTATTATATATCCGATGTCGATTAATCACATATGAACCTCTTGACAAAATCTCACTCTCGGATTTCGGATAACAACATACAACTCAACGTCGCAAAAGCAGAGATATACAGTATTTTTTTCCTATTTTTTTTTCTTCTTTTTTTAATAAATACATCGTATGTAACGTGTAACATGGTGATATTCGTTTATCCAATAGTTTTTTTTTTTTCTTCCTTATTCTTTCCCCTGTTAGTCTTAATCGTGTATATTTATTTATATATATTTATATTTCGCCGCTTGTATTTATAATTTATGTATACGTGTATGCATAATTCGTTATTGGGCAAAGTTTCTTATTTCTCGTTTCTCAAATCGCTTTTTACGCGCTTTGTCGTAGAAAATGGGAAATAAGAAGCAACTTGAGGATTAAAAAAAAACGAGATTCCGGACCAAATTCTCGTATCGCTTATAGTTTATAGATTAATTCGTTCTCCCTCTTACAACCTACGGTTCAAAATAGCACCCCGCGCACGAGGATTTGTTGTCGCCTTTGTTCCTCCTTACGACCTATCAACTTTTCGTGGCTTGTCGTACTACAAACACTACGGCTTTACGTTATACTTATATTTATATTTTTTTTTGTTGCGTTATTTACCTTCTTTATTTACAAGTTTCTTTTTCGCGTCCTTTGCATTGCCACCATCCAACGTTTCATTTTCTCGACACTGATACTTATTATTATTTTTTTTTTTTTACGGTACAATATTTTTTTTGTCAAAGTAATAATCAACAGCTTATTTATTTTTTATATATATATATATATTTTTTTTTTATCATAAAATAACATCTGTTTGCATGAATTTGGAAAAGAGCTCGCTAGAAACATCCTAATGTCGCGTTTTTTTATGGTTCTGGCATTTTATTTTTCATTGTAATAATATCGTGATTATTTTGAATTTTATGACCACAAATTGTGCATATTGCATGATAAAATCATTTAACGTATTAGAGAGTCAAAGTTAACTCTTTTTAACGAACCGGCAGTAGTTTTTTCGATGTTTCATTTACTTGGACATAATACATCGTTAATTATTGTAAAAAATACTATCTTCGTCGGTCACTTGATGCAAAGATTTTGAATTCGTGGAAATAATGCTTCAACGATGGGAAAAGAAAGAAATCCAAACTAATCAAACTCATGGATTTTCCATACTTGCTTTGTTAACCGATAACAGCTAAAATTGACCCTCACAAAGTTCTGAATCGTACATTTTCGTGGCTCATCAATTATTCCTCGATTTTTGATTCTCATTCGGTTCATAAAAAACTGCCATCATCAAACGTCACGTACCATCCGGAGTACCCATGGATTACCCCTTTAAACTCCGAGTGCTCAAATTTCAACCACCGACTCTCGTATGTCATCGACGTCCCGATCTCGATCCCCCCTGTCGAGATTCTCCCCCAAAACAATTCCCCCAAAAGCTACACGTAAGACCCAAGCTCCGAGCAAAATGCCCCCCCGAGCGCGATAAGACAAAGATAGCATTCAAGCCTACAAATCCCGCGCCCCGGTAAATCTGTGTAAGCCCCGGAAAGAGGAGGCGAGTCCTTAATCCATCGCAAAGCCCCGCTTCCCTCCTTACGTCCCCGAAACCTGTTGCTCGCTCACCCCCGTTCATACGTATACGCGGACGAGGGACTCGCGGAGCGCATAATGCATATTTTCTGCATAAAAGCCGAATCCGTTTGACACCGGTGGCGCCGGGACACGTGTTACCCGCCCCAGTCCCCATAGAGTGGAGAGCCAAAGTTTGGCGGATTTAATTTTTAGCGAGCCCTCGCGTTTTACATTGTAATAACGGCGCCCTGATTTGCATGAATTTGCGCGAGCCGGGAAAGCAATTTGTGTAAGCTCGCGTGTCGTCGTATTAAAAAAAAAAAAAAAAAAAAAAAAAAGAGTAGCTGGGATATGAAAAGCGGTGCGGTGCTCTCATCGAAATTTATGCCTCGCGGAGGGCCCAGCAGTCGTCGTATCGAGGTGTAAGGAGTGTTTTCTCATTGTGCGCGCCGCGGGAAAAAAGAAGGTTGGTACGGAAGGGAAAAAAAAATCCTGCAGCCCGTCTCCGAGTTATCGAAACGCGAATCGTCCATCGGCCTTCGAAGGGGAGACTCTCGCCCCGGTTATTCTTACGTCTGAGGCTGTTATTATGCAATTCCGATGCCAACGAGGGCGAAGGAAAAAAAACGAGCCGAACGAGGAAAAGGTTATACCCTCTCTCTCTCTCTCTCTCTCTCTCTTCGGCACCGGCTGCGATATCTACTTTTTTTTATCTCCGTTCGGGGCTATATACCCGGTTCCCCGTTTTCCTCCCCCTTCGTTGGGGCGCCGTGTATATCGAGAGGACTTTTGCAAATTATAATATTCGACTTTTTAATATTCGCTGGCGAGACTGTGGCTCTTCTTTTCTTCTCCCGGAGCCTTGGCTCGAAAGATTCGAACAAGGAGTTGTCGCTCGAGTCTGACGTTTTAATCTCAAGTATCCAGATGGGATCTGCTGATTCTCGCTGTGAGTGTGCGTGGGTGAGAATTAAAGGTAAGGGTTGGGGAAGTAGGGGCATCGAAAAAAATGTCCTATTTTTCTGTCGAGTGTTTGCTATTTTCTTTTTTTGATTCGTTTCATTTTTCTCTATCGGACGGTACAGTGAGAAATATTATTATGTACGATCAGCAAATCCGTTTGTAGAGGTTTCTATTGATTTGGTGGACCCACGAGACTATGGCATTTTCAAGAGTTACAGTTTTAGTGGGTGGAGTTGATGATTTTTTTTTTTACACCCCAAGCTATTTGGTATTGCGAAATTTGTGAAATAGGTATCACCGTAGCTCTTAAATCTTGCGGTTGGTGTTGCGTTCAACAATGAAAATCCCTGTCAATGTTGTAGTAAAAATATTTCGAAATGTGTGTTTGGTTTGCTTTGTAAAAATTTAATCCGAACAGTGTAAAAATTTTCAATTGAACAAGTATTGCTTGGTTCCGTAATTTTTTTTTCCGTACAAACATGCAAATGCGATTCACTTAGGCAGTTATTACCCTTAACGTTGGTTGTGGGATTAAAAAAAATTTTTTTCGTCAATGTTGCAACAAAAACTTAAAATGACAATTAAAACGTAAAATAAATTTTTTTTATTCGATCCATGAGACGATGCTTCTCATTTTAATTGTATAATAATTGTTACCATTGATATTATTACTATTATTATAATAATAATTATTATTACGTCATTATTAGACAAAGAGTCTAATTATTTCCACCCTGTTGTTTATTAAAATAAACATCTTATCATAATAATAAAGTATACAACGAAGGATAAGGCAAAGTATCTAGTATTTGTACACAGCTCAAATACGGATGATTATTTAATACTCAAAATCAGTAACAGTGAGAAAATAATCAATCTGTGCTTTAAAAATTTAAAAAAGGTCCCTAAAAAATGTAATTTTAAATATAAACACAACACGTTAAAAGTTTAGTTTCGGTTAAAATACCTTGCAAGAGACGACCTGATATTGTTGTCAAAATAGTTTATCTCTATAACGTTTGAAAATAAGTCGAATCATGTACTCATATGAATTATTGATGTCCAAATCTGGTTATTTCAACAAAATACTCTTTCATTCGATATCAAACATCTAAAACCATTAGCGAAAATATTTCTATGAATTTTTGCATCTGTGTTGTTTAAAAATGTACTGGATACTTTACCTTAAAGTATTTCGAGAAAAACTTCATCTTAAAAGTATGACATACGTTACATGAGTCAGAAAACATCACAAGTCATATTCAGTTTGATGTACAACGAAACTGGTCAACTGTTGGTCGCTGTAAAAACGTTTTATTCATTTATAATTCATGTCTCACGTTCCAGCTCATTTTCAGTACTGGAGAAGTCCAATAAACAAAAAAAAGGGGGGGGGGGTTGACCTCAAAACACTGATTTTCCATCTCGAATCGTAGAAAAAAAAACCCAAGCCTGTATATAAGCGACGCCAAGGACGCGAAGCAAATACCACACATACCATGATATATATATAATATTATCGCTTTTATCGCTCGTTGCATAAACGACTTAATATTTTACATCGAAAGCGACCCGAGAGATGCCCCATCATCACGGGCAAACGCCTGTCCCGCGTTGCACCGCCGACGACCACATCCCCCCCATTGTTCTACTTTAATAAAGGCTTCGTTTTCTCTTTCCCGCGCTCTCTCCTTCCTCTTACATCATACCATTGCCTTGCACCCGCCGGTATCGTTAGCACGACGCTGTTGCTCGTCGTCCCACGAAAACTTGGCACGCGAGCTCGAGTACGCCAACTGTACCCCGTAACGTTGCTAGCTACGTTTAAAAAAGTATTTCATCCCCCGATGACGTGCAACTCCCCTCGACTGTAATCGAGTCACTGGCAACAGCTCCTCGATTCCTCTTGTCTTGTCGTGTCGCTGGTGCTCCCTCGCTCCGTTGGCTCTCGACGCGACTGGGCTTATCGGAGGATCCAGCAGGCGTAGATCACCGGCAGGAATAACAGTACCACGAGGGTTGTCGTCGCAGTTGTCTGTACCGCTGGAGCTGAAAGTAGAAATTGTGATTGTTTAGAAAAATTTGCGAGTCATTTAGCGTTTCGTGGGAAGTTTTGCAGATTTTTTTTTTTTTTTTTTTTGGCAAAAAAAACTAAGGCAAAAATCGTACGAGTGTCGGTACAAGTACATCATCAAGTAGTGAACTTGGTACAATGTAGGTACTCTTATTAGTTTGTGGCAATTGCAACGAAAGGTGCTCTTAGAACCCACGATTTCACGTGGTAAGAACGGGTTCACTTTTTAGGTATACGTATTAAATAATAATCCACGTCATTTGAAATGGTATGACGTTAAAAACCTGGAATCTCGAGTTTTGCAGGAATATAATGAGAAACTTGTTAGTAAAGACGACGACGGCGGCTGTAAGCTTTGGGGGGTGGGGGAAGGGGGGGTTGTGGATTCTCCTTGCAATTTGATACGTGTTCCGAGTGGTGCTCTTATTTCAAAATGAAAACGCCAGCAAGCGGCTCGTCCGAAAAAGCAAAGACCTTCCATGCGCAAACGTCCGTAGGAAAGAAATGAGAAAGCACCAAGCCCGTGCGCCCGGATCATTCTTCCGGCTGGCCTCCTCCTCCTCCTCACGGCCATTACCGGTTGTTGACGAGGCTTTTTTTTTTTTTTTTTTTACGCTACGTACACATCTGCTCCTCCCTCGGATCCTTGCTCCTAATTGCAAATAAGAAACAAGCCAGCAAAGCGAATCCCGTCGAGCGACTGCAAACCAAGGAGAGGGATCTGTTTCTCCCTTGCCTTGCTCATGAGCGCGTGGGCTGCCAGGTATGTCACGGTTCTGATTTCTTCGCAATTATTTTTATTTTCCAATTGTTTTCATCATTCAACTACCTAAATGGGGCTTGTTTTCTGCCCACAAGTTTTCACATCCACAACCGTCCCAAGGATTTTACGGTTTACATTTACGAGATTTATTGCGAACCACAACCATTTCGATGTTTCTCTGTGTTCTCTATTCCATGGCTGTCTGCACCAACTTGGCTTATTGAAAATATTTAACGAGGAAATTTCAATTTCTGGAAAAGCATGTTGATCGTCTCATAAATCTATTTGTTCTTTAATTTTTATGTCCACCCTCTCATTATTCGTAGTTGTTCGTATAATCTAAGTAAACAATAAAAAGCGTTCGATTGAGATTTTTTTCTTGCTTTTCTCTCTATTACTACCGCCTGCAATTGTTATGGAAAACAGTCGTCTACCAGATGGTTTTTTTATTTTTATTGCAGTATAAAAGTTTGCCTATTTCAACACATGAGCCCAGAAAATATTGGATATAAGCCAACAAATTGTGCTAGATCTGGAAAAATGACGTACATCGTCTTCGCTCTGACCGGAATATTCGATGGGTGTGAATGAAATCACCGTGTACGTAAATTATAATGTGTAAGACACGGTTAGAACAACAATAAATCTTCATTTAAATCGAATCGAGCGCAAATCGACTTTCGCATTAAAAATACTTCACTGCTCAATCATTCACAAGCATATCGTTTGGCCGGGCTCCCTCGGGCTAGAGTGACTCCCCCTCCTCCCCGTCCGATCCTCCTCCAACTTGGAGCAACAAAAGCACCGAGAGGCAGTGCATTTCTGCTCTCGACGATTAATTTTTCATGGCAATTTCGCCTCCCTCCTCCCGCTCCTCCACCCCCCCCCCATATATACCTAGCTCACGTATCAGCCGTCGTCTTTTGCTTTTGTTGCGCGACTTTCCTACCATCGCTTCCTCCCTCCCATAGTGTTTTTTTCGCTCGCGACTTCCCGAATAGGAGCTTTTCTTTCTTCCTCCCGGTTTCCCTTGAATTTTCTCGCACATCCACTTTTCATCGAATGCCCGGGTGATTTATGACGTCCACGTGCCCATGGGCCGAGATGGCCTGCCACGGGCGTCGCGCCACTCCCTCCACCCCCATCTTCCTTCGTCTCTACTTGGAGGAAAAATTTGGCTGTCGGACAGTCAGCTACGTCGTTGAGGATGACGTTCACGCCCCTCCCTGTGGGGAAAGAAAAGCTGAGGCTCGCAGTTTTTCAGCCCAACTTAATTGACGCGTCCGATTTTCGAGGCTGTCGTCGCGCGATACCCCTCCTTCCCGTGCAGGTATAACTACGAGAGCGAGATTGGTTGTTGATACTTTACGTGGATGATGAAATCGAGATTTTAGTCCAACGTGATTGAAAACAACACAACTCAAAATTAAAAAATAATAACTTGGTGAATCGAAAATTTCCGGGTCTATTTTGTCAGTTCGTAAAAGTGTTGAATTTCAGACCCACCGACTTGGTCTTGCTGGTTTACTTGGGGGAAAAAAAGGCTCGTAATCACCAGCTGCGTGTTTATTCGGTGAAAAAAATCAAGACTAGCGGAGCGAAAATATTCATTGGCCGCGTACTTTATCGAGATATTCGCTTTGACGATCCATTTCGTTGGACCCACACCGCGAGTACTTTAACCACTGGGTAATGTAGATGGTGGTTGCTTTCAAAACGATGGGAAAGAACGATAGAAAGGAGAGTCTCTTCCATCAAACAATTGAAAAGCTGGTGGTGAAGCTGCCAGCGACAGTCGAGTTCTTCTCCCGTTTCCACTTTGCTTGTCCCTTCTTGAAAAGCGTCACGCAATTGTTGGAGATTTCTCCGTTTATTTTGGCAAGAATAAGCCAGTCGATGTGCTCGAGATGTTCGAAAGATGATAACATTTTCTTTACTGCACTATATCTACACGAGTTCATTAGCCTTCTTACTTGAACGACATTTGATATTTTATTTTATCATTTTTTTTTTTTTTTTCAACTCTTTCAAAATCTAGAAATAAGAAGGAAACAACAATTTTATGCTTTTGAGTTAAAACATTTCGTCGAAGTAATAAAAAGACTGAAATGTTCTTAAAAATTCTAAAAATAAAAAACTAACGTGCACATCACTGCGAGTGTAAAGGTGTTTCCTTCTCTACAAGATGATCTCTAATTTCTACTTGTTTTTGGTAAATTATAAGTAATAAAGTAAAAAAGAGCTATTTTACTTGTCGTCTAAGGCCGGATTATCATTTGTCTGATGATCATATTTCCGTCGTGAAGGACGGCATCTCAAGGATCTTGCATACGTACAAATATTATAAAAAAATTAAATTATTAATGTTTTCTTTTCACTTCATTGCCATCGACACGTAATGTACAAAATTACACGTATCAAGCACCCAATAACCTATTCATTGGTCATTCCATTGATAAAATCTAATAAACCCACCCCACCGCATGTACCTAAACAAACTCACCCCGTTCTCCAGGATGGCTCACCTAATACGTATCCATATACCTTCCAGGTACTATGTATGTATACGTGTAAAATCCACACATACCAGCAAACAGTAGAAAAAAGGAAGGGAATAAAGTTATCGAGGCAGCCATAACGAAATATCGCAGAGCAAAATCGAAAGGGAGAAACGAGTGAAATTCTCGACGGGTTTTCCGAGCAGGGACTGCGGATGGACGTGCTGAGGATGTTCAAGTTCTTCCCTCCCGCTAATTTAAAGCTGGACACGAGAGCGTGGAGCAAAAATTCAGCCCATGGGTTTCTTCCTCGTTCGTGGCTGTACTCGTTTTCCCGGGTAGGGGAGCTTTTCTTTTCTTTTTGCTTGCGTTTGGTTTTAAATTTCAACCGAATGTTACGAGATGCGATACGCAGCCCGTAAAACGAGCTTTTCCCGTAAGTTTGAATGACTTTAGAGGTTGCAGCGAATATTGGATATTTCTTTGGAAAGAGCATAGGTGTGTGCTACATCATCCATGCGTTTTGCACAAGGGGAATAAATCCAAAGCGGTTTCATTTCAAGCATTACTTCGGTTGTTGTAAATATACATCCCCGCGACTTTACTATCATAAAATTTGCACCCGAGTGCATATCTATTTTTAAATAGGAAAGGACAATGATAAGGTGGTCGCCCAATTGCCAACAAAACCACAACACCGACTATTTAGTGTTTACATGTAAGTATTTTAGTAAATTTAAAAAAGTGCGGAAGTGTGGAACCATACCGATCTTTATTGTTCGTTAAAGAAGTTATAAGTTAACAAAAATCTTTTTTTACAGCGTAATCAAAAAAGTGTATCGGAATGAGTTACAATGGCTGGTTAAAAACAATATTTGCTACAAATAAGTGGTATTTTTTTCTAAAGTATAGTTACGTAAGTTAAGCTGAAATTGTACATAGTCTGCTACACGTGAGGGATAAACGTTTGTTTTTGTTTTCAGAAGTACAGTACTTGTATGGTTAGAATTGAATAAAATGAAGGTTTTCGTTGTATCAACTTATTATGTTAAATAAATATGCTGCAATTAAATTGAATGAAGAAGCTCTACCTGTTCAATAATAATAAGAGTCTGAGCTCTTTCAAAGGAATATTAAAAGGTGTTAAAAAGGTACACTTACTATTGTTTGACCAGTCCCGACTGCGTTTCTTGTCTTGTTCACTGGCTTTCTGCTCTGACTTGCCAATTTCATTCAGATTTGAGTTATTTCCTTTAGTTCCTAAAAAATAAAAGAAAAAAAACATAAATAATACTTTTTTTTAGTTTACATTTAGTTGAATTACATTTACATTGAATTTTTAATGCAACCAAAAAATATTATTTGTCAAATGCGTGTAGATAAAATTTTATTAATTTTTACGCCTGTTTATTAGAAACTATTATGGGGATGAAAACAAACACAGAATCCTATGTACCTATTGTACTTCTCTAAACCAATACGAAATCGATATTAGACCATTAAATGGAAGGTAATCAACAGAATACATTTTTAAGCGCCCTTACTTATTTAAGGGAGCTCTGTAGTTAATTAAAAGTCTTTCTAGCAAGCATGACACTCCTTTTACGCGTCTGGGGGACGTATTTGTTCAGGTCTAAAAATACGTATTCGTATTATCATCAAGACATTAACATTGTCATACTATTTTAAACAATTTTGGTTGTTAAATATTCGTTACAGACTTTTCTTTGTCAAAGTCATCATTTTTTTTTCACATCAACACGAATGTCGATTCAATCATTAAAAAATCCATAAAAAACTTAATCACCTGAGGAGCATCCCAAATTTTTCATAAACATTTTCACTGGGCAATTATTGAGTAACAATTGTAAATAAACTGTTGCCATGTATGTTGGTGCAGAGCCCCCTTAGGAGGACAGCTCATGGTCATTGATGACCCAACGACTAAACCAGCCCTGTATGACAAGTCGCGTGACACTATTGGCCCAAAAAACCGAACAAAGAGATACCACGTGCCACATAACTTTCTGTGCATACCCCAAAACTCCAGGAGCCGCTCTCGTGCGCAGCCTCACGATAACCAAAGGCAAACCTCGCACGAAACTTTTCTCGGAGTCGAGGGGAGGGAGGTTTCGACTCTTAATCCCAAAACGAGATCGTCACTCACATCACGCGTTGCCTTCCCAGGGGCAAATTAGAAATCAGGCTGTGGTCTCGATACCCCCTGCTCCTTTTTAGCCTATGTATAGGCTACTACAAACATCGGCGCCAAGCCAAGGCAGATGTGTCGCGTCCCACCAACAAACGAGTACAAGGTAAAATACAAAGACCAAAGAGACGTGCGATGAAACTGAAGATGTTTACGCTCAGGGCTACCCTCTTGTCGCGTAACTAGTATGCAAATTCTGTTATGCCTGGGCGTGTAGCTTCTTGTGTATGTGTTTGCATGCACTGGAAACTCGGATGGAAACGTTAAAATACGGAGAGTCATTTAGCTGCTCGATCCCTCTTGTATTTACATGGCTTTAGGCCGACGTACGCATTTGTTTGTTGTCGTTTTCAAAAATTTTTCGCCAAATCTTGGTTCGTCGAAATATGGAGGGTCACCAATGGCAGTTGTTCTTCATTCATTTTCATGAAGCATTTTGAGTACGCGACTTTAGTTGCTATTGCCGAAAACCAACGATGTACCGAGAATGAGATTCGTAAGTAGTATAACCTCGTTTTGGTCAGACGTGAAACATTCAATGAAACGCGTGGTAAGCTCTTCGTGGGGAATTGTGTTATTATTGTTAAATATTAATTTGAAATTCACTGAGCGAGAAGGGATTATAAACACGACAGCGGTAAATCGATACTGAACTCATTAGAAATCAACAACTATAGCTTTTCAAATAAAGACAAGGTAATGTGATTACCTTACGGAATCAGCTTCGTATTAATATTCAAATGAAAATCCAATCAATAAAACGATAAATTTTGTAATATAATTACCCATCAAGTGTACAAGATGTGATTTCATCGGAAGGTTCTTTTTTTTTCAAAGTAACGCTAGTAATAAATCACGAGTTCTGAATGTATTCTCGCTCAACAACAACGTCGAATTTCGATGCTCGCACCTTTGGCATCAATGATTCAGATCCATGGGTCAACAACTCGGAAATAGAGGGGCCTCTCGTCGAATGTTCTCAAAATTAAAACATCGTTTACGTAAAAAAAGTTGAGGTAAGAGTTGTTGTAAAACTGCGTGGCAACATCGCGTACACGCCGGAGCAGCCGGAAACAAACCTTAACCCTGCAGCTTTATTATAATGAAGCCACGATCTACCACGCTGATTCTCGGCGAAGTGAAACAGCCAGAAGCCTGAGCCAAGGGCCAAAATCCTCACGCCACCCGGAAAACACGAGGCCAATTTCCATGGGGAAGGTAGACAGGGAGATCCAAAAAGTTTCCTAATTGTCGGCGAATCCGCAAATGAGCTCGTCAGTGTTTTGCCGCGCTGTATACATTACTAAGCTGTCGGAGGGTGAGAAACTGGCTGGGTGGCCGTACCGAGCTAACTGCGTGCGACTGTATTATGTAACCGCGATACACGACAGTGCGAGTACACACAGTTGGGTGGCAAATGCTCGCCCAGAGAAACGGATATACGGGGCGAGAGAAGGGACAGACGTATGCAAATCCTGGCCAAACATTAGGCTGCCTCGTGCTATGGCGTGACGGAGAGCCACTGGCTTCTATTGCTGGTACTTCCCGTGGACTGTTTATGCGTGGCTTATACGTACATGTGTACAAGTATGCGCGTGTTTGCGGTGCCCCTCTGTCGCTCGAGGAGAACTCTCTATGCCCCGTGTACACACGCCCGGGAGAATCATCCACCTGCACGTCGTTAATTATTTGCTTTTAATCAACGCCTCTACCCCCCCCCCCCTATTCTCTAGTGCGTCGACTTGCTCTCGCCAATCGCTGATTGTTGCATCCGACGTGCGTGGAAGGAAGATCCCGAAGCTTGGATAACACTTCTGTACCTATACTGTACGTACACACATTTACGGTAATCGCTTGCACGCCTCGATTGTGCGCCGAGGGAGTACAGTGTGGATGGGTGTGCTGGGACTTTGTTTGGTGTTGCCTCACTCGTCCAGGGGAAGATGCGTGGACGGAGATTTTGACGCCTCGATTGTTAATATCGAAAATTCTGGTAGAGCAATCATCCTGCTGATTAAACAATCATCCTACGATGCGGATGCCAACTATATGATGAGTTCGGAGTCCTTGAATTTAGGTTGAAGAAGAAAAAAAAAAAGTGCTTTTGGCAACAGGCATCCTTGAACGAGAGGATAAGAAATTGCGATTGGTAATATGAGACCAGCAGCTATCCAATTGTACTTCCTCTTACGATGTTCATTAATTTACATGACAAGGAAATTCTCACGTTGACCACAAATGTACATTTTGCATCCACGTACCTAAAAAAATCACTAGTTTATATCATGACTTGAATGAAAAAACTGAGATCTTATCAACTGGTACGTTAATTATGTAAGATTTCGTTAAATTCCAGCAAAACTCTCACGTTTTTTTGCGCTATAGGTGATTCAAACCAAACGGTTGAAAAATCAAATAACAAAAAAAAAAAAAAAAACCACCGCTAATAGTCACGTTAAGCGAGCGTAATGTATAATCACGTTCATTCTGCAGAATGATGATTTATAAGTCGCGAGAAGCACGGAGAGATTCGGTCGCATGCACGTGATCACGATAATTAAACTCTCGACCCGCGCAATATTCGATTAAACGGACTAATAGCCCACACCCCTCCTCTGCGCGCATACGGTATCATTAACACACTCTTCGCCAGGTTTACCTTTCGTGTACGGGCACGCACGTGTGCAGCACTTGTGGGAGGGTTATTACTGATTTTCTGCGTTGAAAGCAAGAGTAAGGAAAGACCTTGCGATAGGATATTGACGTTTGGGCCCTAATGGATGATACGGGGGTGTTCGGAGCTATTGATTTACCATCCCCGGGTAGCTGAGAGGATCCATGTTGACGTGAGTGCATCTGTATTCTGTATATAGGTGCCCTGAGGCGAGTAATCGATACAGCAAATGTGTGCAATACAATCATCATGGGATTTTGAAACGAAAATATTATGCAAGGACGGAGAAGATGTGGTGTTTTGGACAACTCCTCCAGCTGAAAATGATCCAATTGTATTTCATTTCTTTAAGTGACGTGACGTTATGAAGCATTCTCTGGTACACATATACCATGTATTTAACTCCTGTGTTATAAATTCATAAAACAATCTCATTTTCAATTAATGTAATATCGATGCAATGAATATTTGTGCATCGTTTATTGTTACAACTGGAAAAAACTCATCACAAAATTTAAGGTCTTGCTAACACTTACAACAGACAAGTAAATAGACAATAAGGTGCAACAACCCATGAAAGAAAGCCAACACGGCCCAACAGTGATCCAACATTGGCACCCATTATTGACAGTACTGCTCGCCAATACTGATCCGTAGTTGTATGGTTGTTGAAATGATCATATTGGTCCAAAACTTACCATGCAGTACTGGTAAAATATACTTACTAGCTGATATAACTAAATAGTTTGTTACTGGATTAATCTTTGACCATAAACGGTATTCATAACAGAGATAGCACTATTTTCTCTAATTTTTGTCATATTTTCTTCATCGCTTTTGTGCTGACGTTTTTGTAAATAATTGTTGAATACGAAAGCATTTTTCCGGTTTTACTTAAACAAACTTAGGTTATTTTTTTTACTTTTCTTTCTTCTCGTTGTAAGACGAAGATTGCAATGCACAATCGTATTGAAGACTCACTATAATAAATTCAATCGAATTATTTATTTAAATCACTGGAATATCTTTAAAAATATTTGCTATATACTGAATGTTTATGTCCCGCACGGAGCGTGTGTTTAGACAACAGATACTTAGTTGAAAACAAATGACATGTAGAACCTCTTGAGGTTGGAATCGTTATTTTTCCTATAAGTATTGACCGAGTATCGGCAACGTATACGGCCAATACTTGGCAGCTACTATTATTTGACAGACCCGGCTAACATTCCTGGACCAATAAAGTTTTGGAGAATTCGGTCCAATATGATCATTTCGACATTGGCAGGAGTATTGACCAACGCCTGGCATACAATTATCAGTTTGTCAGTACTTCACCGTAATTCGGCCGTGTTGTCAGTCTTGGCAATTCTTTCATGGGAAAAGTATTTTTCCAAGCTTTTGTTGTTTTCATTAAAAAAGTATAACATAATAACCGGAGATTTTCCTGTAGATTCGAGCAACCAAATCGCATGGATTTTATTTCCAATATGAATAAAAATGATTGCGTATCTAATTGACGTAAAATCAATAGAGTAAAGTGAATCGATTGACGTGCCGTGATGAACGAGAAATAATCGTGAGGCATGATGCGTACAGTTGGTGAATAAAACATTTCTATGGATGAAATCTTAATTCCAACATTCAGCATGATTTCCTGGTGTAGCGCGTCAACTCGAGCAAACGTCCACGAAACATCGAACAGTTGAAAAAAAGCGACCCAAGCGAGCAAAGTTTTTGCATCCCTTAAAAAGACAAGACAGCCCGCTCGCTCGAAACTTTTGTCCCCCCCCCCCTTCTCTAATGCCGTTCCCTCTAGCTGTGCAAGCATACACGTGTAGGTAAGAAGCTACAAACCTTGAAACAACAAAGAGGAAGGAGACGAGTTTGCTCAAGTACGAGCAACATTAACGCCGACCCGAGGGCCAATTACGAATCTTGGAGCCACCATTGTGGCTGTGGTAGCGACCTGATGGGGTATATATACTGTGTACACTCTCAGATGACCTTATATCGCTAGTAGTAGCAGTAGCGACGAGATCTCAACTTTCGCCTGATAATATATGCGACTAAATATAAGATGAAGAAATTGATGAAAATTAATTACAACTGGGAGCTTAGTATGTAGCACTGGCTATTAAAAAAAAATTTTTAGAAATCAAAGGGATCAGTGTCGAAAAAATCTCCAAACAGCCGTTCGATATCAGCCGTGAGATGGACAAATGTAAAGGAGTCACAGAGGTTTCTATTAAGAACAAACAAATTGTATTACATTATTCGAACATTGTATTCTTAGCATAATTAAAATAACCACTATTTGTAAATGTTATCAAACTGATTTTATTCTTAAACAAAATTATTCCACGTGAAAAAGATCAAACTAGTAAGTTTGACTATTGACCAGTAAAGCAAATCACATCATAAGCTACGGTTCCGTTTTAAGCTCAAATATTAATTTTCTATTAAATTGCAAAGAAACAAATATTTCATTGCTGGTGCCTTTTATCTTGTAATATTGTGCAGTTGTGAGTCTTTGATTCAAGAAATTAATCTAAAATTTTTTCCATGAAATCCATACACTGTAGTACAAAATGTTTTCATCGCCACCCACCTAACATCAAAATATTAACGTGAAAAGAAAAATCCTCTATCCATGGAGCAAATGGCGATGATGCACTTCATCGTAGCCTCGCAGCGGCAAGTGAATCAGCGTGTCCTCGGAAGCATCGGACAAAGGGACGCGCTGGAGCCTAAAACGTGGCATCGCTGCGAGGGAGCGAAATTTTGGAAAAGGCTCTTGTTTTGGGGTGGCGAAAATTTAATAAACGAGAGGGAGCAAACGGAAGCGCAAGTGAGCGCCACTGCGTGGAAAGACAGAGGCGAGGTTATTTCAGCGCATCATACGCGTCTCTGCGACACCCAACCTCGAGCATTATTGGATCCCTCCTGTTAGCACGCCCATGAAATATTAATGCTGCGCGCCCCCCTCTCTCGCATTTGGGAGCAATTTTTATCTCATCAGCCTAATTTGCGATTTAGCCCTCGACTCGGGATATTGGCGAATGCATCCCTCCCGGAGTAAGCAGCAATTCCCAGTCTCCGACTCTCCCGCGTTTGCGGCAGTACCAAAGAGACAAGCGCGCTTTTCCTCTCCCACGGGACTTTTTTGCCCCTCCTCCTTCTCCTATATCGGGCATATTCGTCGCCCGTCGAGGACTATATATACAGGTATACGTACGCGCGTGGTTTAATGAGTTGGAAAATTGCACCTAAACGAATTAACTTCGGCCGAGGCCCGCTGATAAAAAAGTTAATGGCCTGCCCACTCGGCTACTTTTTTATTTCTCGTGGAGCTTACCTTTTTTCTTGCCGTTGTTGGTCAGCGAGCTCGGGCTCTCGTACACCGAATTGTTCATTTCCGACGAGGTCTCCCACTCTGTAACGAGAACGAGCGATTCATGTGCTTTTTTGTTTGGTGCGTTCAGTCGTGCGGTAACTTTTGCTTGCGTGACTATTTGTGATCATTTTGCATGCTTATGATATCTGTGCGTATGAAGGCACGTAGATTTTTCTTTTCAAAAGTAAGGGTGCAGGTGTTTAAGGCGAGGCAGAGAAATATTACTGATTTTCGTATTGATTAATTGCCAATAAAAATTACTTGGTATTGGTTCATCCTTATGTTGAATAGTGAGGAGTCGCAAATAGTTGTAAACGTACAACCAGGAAAGTCGTGAAAGTTTCTTGCTGTTTAATCGGTAAAAGTTTTGCCATTCTGAATTGTAAAACTTTTTTTAACAAAAACAAGCCTGAACTGGGGTGCCAAAGATGTTCGATGCATAATACTCGTATTTTCATTTGTGATTTTATACAACTTTCATTAAGTAAATTTTTTAAAAATGTCTGGTTTTAATTCCGTGAAACAAAAAATAATAATTTAAATAATTAGTAAAAGATAAATCGTGCTTATTAATTATATTTCATTTAAAATTTACTTTTTGTGCTGTTAAACATTTAATAAATTCAAAGTTAATTATTTATATCGTTTTTTCTAGTCGTATACTTATAACTTTGAATTAACAGTTTTTCGCTGTGTACAACTCGATTGGAATGAAACAGTCTTTAACTTTATTTTTTTAATTTTACTTACTTAAAAACAATGACTAAACAGCATTTCTGGAATCAAACAAAAATTGAAAAGAAAAATTTCTTCGATTTATCGGAGTGAAACCCAATCCAAGTTGGGAAATTAACGCGTATAGCACGCATGTCTGACCATACCGCGCTTTTACTACTTGTCACGCAGTCAAATCAGCATAAGTTTCGTATAACTTGGATTGCGTTTTCTCAGCTCGAAACTTTCTTTATCAAAACTGTATTTCTTTGATCTTACGTATGAAACAGACTGAACATCCGAAAATTGGATGTTTGGAAAAAAAAGCAAAAAAGTTTTTTCCGCGAACTTTTTGAAAAAACAGTCCACCTCGATATTTTTAACGCATTTGTCTGTAAAAAACAAAACAACAAAAAAAAAAAAAAAATAAACGTACTCGTATATCATACAACTCGTTGAAACTTTATAAAACACATTTAAACGACTCGCAAGCCGAATTCGTGGCTCACAAACGGCTGGTAAATCATTTTTACTGCTGCTGTATTGTTTTGCCAGTATATACCAAAGCCATTAAATTATAAACTACGCACTGACCTGTTTGTCCTGGCACATACATGTGTATACACGCGCGTTCGTTAAATTCAATGAGAATTCAATTATTCAGTAAAATATCGTACTACTACCCGCGCAGCATCGGTACAGTATAGCTTTGCGCAAACATTTACATATATGTATGAAAAAAAAAAAAAAAAAAAAAAAAACGGGGAAAAATGGAAAAAAAAAAGAAAAATCAAAGCAAAACCAAACTGAAGAGCGGAAGCAATATCGAGCACGTGGGTGCAAATTTACCGAACTGCGGGTCAATGGGCACGTGAAAACAATGAATAACAGTGCACGTATACGTGGATACAATAGGACGCTCACCTTTATCGTCGGGAAGTTCCGTCGTCACGGGCCTTGGACTCGTGCTTGCTGGCTCAGACTCTGCAATAAGCCAAACAACAAACACGTTTTTTTTTTTTTTTTAATTTTCATATATACATCATATTTTTTTACAATTGAACTCGTTCGTCTGCTCGACCTCCTGAGAGTATACTTATTCATTTACATAATAACACATATAGGTGCGTATACGATTTTAGTCTCGCCAAGTGAATACAACAATTGAAAAAAAAAAAAAAAAAAATTGATAAATTGTAGCTGTCTGCGAATCCCAGCACACGCGTGCGCACGTTTGCATAATTGTTAACGAGCGAACACGCGAGGGTGACATCCACTTATGCATACGTTTGTTATTCGTGAGTGTACATTTACGAACTTGTACATATACATAAACATGTGGTACACAGGTATATACATATATAAATGATATTATAATAATAATAATGTGCTTGGGCAGTGCTCGCTATAGTGCGTGTGTTTGGCATCATCTACTTTTCAACGTGTACGTGTGTGTTACACATGACACAAAGTGTTGTTTATGCGACTGGATGAACAGACAAGTCGAGAGGAGAGTACCTTATTTTTCGCTTGAAGATCCGGCCGATTGCTCCAGTTATCGTGTTAACGTTCCACTCGACGTTGTTCTCGTTTTCATTTCTTTTTTACTTTTTCTTTTCAAGATCATCGTTATTGTATGATATTTTTTCCCCAACACAGTCGTACCAGAGTTATTATGTGTCCATACATTACAGTAGACATAAGTGCACGCAGACCCTTTTAATGACTAAAATTTCGAAGGGATGGATCAAAAAACACGCCAACTTCATCCGTGCTCCTCCTTCGAAAAGAAAAGACCCCGTGGCAATAAGCGAGTAAACTTGAGTACATAGCTGTTGCGTACGTGTGCGCGCGTCTCGCTAAATATGCAAGAGTTTTTGCGTACACGCTGTTACCGGGATATTTCATCTGCATATACGCCTGCATGTACAAGCCGCCCCGAAAGTTTCATCCGGCGTGGGCCCAACTTACCCACGACTTCCACCTTCCCCGCAATTGTTCGACGTCTACACAAGCGCGCGAACACACGTGCATGTACGTACGTACGTAGCAGAGGAAAGGCATCACGCAGGAGCCATTACGGACAGCGCGCCACCTGTTACCAGCACCACAGTGCGCCTGTATTAGCCGCGTTTAGGTATATATACATGGTCTCAGAAGGGTATGAGGGTTCTGCATGCAAAACCCCACCCCCCGCGAGCATATGCACTCGTGCGAACCATATTTTATCCTCTCTCTCTCGCTCGATTCGCTGCTGTGTATATAGGTACCACTACCGGGCGTCGTCTAATCCGATTAGCGCTATTTTGCCCCGCCACCGTCCTCGTCCCAGTCGTTGGATAATTATTACACGCTAATCTCGAGACTTAACGACAAGCGGCCCCCACCCCCGTTTCCAAGGGGGTGGGTTTCAATTATTCCGCGAGGAGTCGTGTCGCGCCGAGCCTGGGGGGTCACCAGGTTCGCGAGAAAAAAAAGGACAGCGATTATTTTCACGGGGACGCTGACAGTCGGCCGTAGGTCTCAGTTTTCGTGACAGGCCCGCGTGAGCCATCGAGGGGTTAGGGGGTAGGATGTATGGTTTCGCCTCGCGACGTTCCTTCTCTCTGCTCGCTTTTACAGGTACGTATCGTATATTTAAGGGCTGTTTAATTAGCAACGGTGATTCGGTGCTCGGTGTATTTGGCTTTTCCTTATTGTTTACAATATCGATAATGTCATTTTGGCAGTCGAATGAGAGGGTGGATTTTTTTTTTTTTTTTTTTTTTTCGTGGTGCATTTTGATGATACAGGTGGACGGAACATTGGGACGTTATTCGGGTGCATTTCGGTATTTCCGTAAAGCAGAATTTTAATTGCCTAAGGCGAGAAATGATCAATGCCAAAGTTAATTAATAATGTATACTTTCGAAAAGTTCAAAGCAAACTCAGTTAAAATAATGTTTTTTTAACCAAAATTTTAATCGCCTCTCTGATAATTGAGTTTACGTTGTATTTCATTTCTCATAAAATTCAACAACGTACATTCTTCTCTCATGTTTATCTAATGATAACTGAGTTTACCGTGAAAATGTGAAAAAAAACTTGTGTAAAATGTTTCAAGCATAGTAAAAAATTTTGTTGTTTAATGTTAACGCGTAAGACGTAGGTTTGTGTTAAACGTTTCAATAAACCACTTGTTTATTTATATTTTTGTTTGGTCACTGCAAGATTTTTCTCCTTTGATAAAACAAGTAATACCAAAGGTAAGCAATCAAGATTGATTATTGTCCTATGCTCATTCCCAAAATTTAAGCACAAACGAATTATTGTCATTTGAATTAGTCTTAAGAAACAATTATGCTTCAAAATACGTAAATATACTTGCACACACTATAGAACCAGCCTGAAACCCTTTTTTTTTACGTTAAAAAAAATGTTTACATTCCCAATTGTAATTACACATGACAATTGTACTCTCGTATAATTAGTCGGTCCTAAAAGAAGAAGAAGAAAAAAAAGAATTTAAACACTAAAAAAGTAGAGTGTTACTCAAAAAATCCAATATCAACGCTAATGAATATTACGTCGCGTCCGCCTCAAGTCACGACGGCGTACGCAAATTAGCCGGGCAGCATTTGAGAGAGCGCGCGTCTTTATACCGCTTCCACCGCATTGGCGGATCTATAATGAACGAGCTCTCGCTTCCAAGGCACTTCACTCTCCCTCCCTCTATATATCGCTGGTATCATCATCACAAGAGTCCCAGGGGCGGTTATTGCGGTCGCTGTAACTAGATTTCGCGGCTGCATTAGTGGTCTTTCTACCGTAGTTGTAAATTCTAAGAACAGGTCCAGTGAAACCGGGAAGGGTGAGCGTTCCTGTCGCGTGGGTGTCGAATGAGCCGGTCGATTGATTTCCTGCTAATCCCTTTCGTATGGGTGTACCGATGGAACTTCTCCAAGAGAACCGTATGGGGAAATGGGGGACGAAAACACCTACAGCCAAAGGGTTTTGGCGCGAAGAGCCGAGCGTCGGAGAGAAAAAGGAGCTACACAGCCGCGGACGTCGCGACTTTTCACTTTTGATTTATCGCGTCGACTTTTGTTTCGTCTCATCCCTCCGTCTTTGTCTTCCCTTCCACGCGCGCCTTCGTACTCCCTTTTCATTTCACCCCCGAGCCAAAGAGATATTAAAACTCGTGGCCCGGGTCGTTTAACTTTTGCCTCCCCCCAGCACTGATTGATGATTGGACCCTCGCGCTCCTTCTCGCCCGATCAATTCCCGCTCTTCTCGCCATAGTCTGCCGTGGCACGACACGGATGGGCAATATACTTCTGCGGGCGAGAGAGCACAGGGATGTTTGTGTATAGCCGTTAATTGAACGATTTTGCAATTATGTGTGAGCGACGTGATTTCACGGAACAGAGTCATTGGGGGTTGTTGGAAAATTGTTTTGAAAAAGAAAAAAAGGTTGGTGCATCATTCCGGCTCAATGAGATTTTCTGGTGTACGTAAATACCAAACAAAAGACGATAAGTCGATTCGTTTGGGTAACGTAATTGAGCGATCGAGTCTCAGCCGGGTAATAGTTGAACAATCAAGTTGAACAAGTGGCTTCGACCTGATCGGGCGTAATTAAAGCAGCAGACCCTCGTCGGGAGACATAACTGGTTGAGAAATTGATTATAGGGACAGGAGGAGGAGGAGGAGGGAGGGAATAGTCGACGATACACCAGCGCCAGCCAGCGTTACTCGCTTCCTCTGCGTTGCGTAAGAGGGCGACGATGAGCCGCAGATGTGTGCCATTCGCAACATGAGCCAAGCCTTTCTCTGGCAAACACGCACCACCCGAACCGCAAACCTGGTTAACCACGCCTGAATCATTTGATAGTGGTCTCCCCTCCATATCTAAATTGAGATGCGGGTTCACGTAAGGGACGACCATTGTCTACGTAATTGGTCGCGTTATCTTTGCCGTTTACAATTTTTCGTTTTATAGATATCCACAATTACGTTGTCAATTTTGTTCTTTTACATATTCATCATTGATCTCACTACTGATTTTGCAACAATACAGAAAACTATGGTTTTGTAGACAGACACCATGGGTTATGCAATTAATAATCATTATCTTGGTAATTATTTCATAATTAGTTAATTCAAATACGTTATTCAGACAGTTTTTGGTCGCACCATTGTTGGCCGGAAGTACAGGATGTTTTTACTAGAATAAACAGCGATATTTTCGATGCAGGACCTGAATTACGGATGCCCTGAGTGGTATCTATAGTTATTGCTACTTGTTGGCTACATTTGCATTACCGAGGAGAAAAAAATGTATTTATTTTCGCCATTTTCTAGTAAACAACAGTTTTCACTTTTAGGCCACACTGGCACACGAAAGTAAATCTTGTAACGAGAGAAAGAAAGAGAAAAATTTTAACGAGAAAATGTGAGAAACGTTTGATCATTAAAATTGTATACCAAAAATAATCAAACAACTAGGCAAAATACAAGGCTATGGAAATATTTTCTTGTTGGTGGTTATTGAACGCCACACACTGACTGTTAATTCACTCACGTACGTGCTGGCAGAAACGAGGCTATTCGAAAAATTCCAATAAACATGGCTAGCTCTGTATAGTCCATCATCCAAAACGTCCGGCCCATCTTGGAATAGAACGACGCTGCTTGGGTCAGCGATAAGCTTGAAAAATGAGCGGACGATTGTCAAAGTCATCCATGCGAATTGTCGTCCGGGAACCAGTACCTAAGTCTACTTTGGACGATTTTCACATGCAGGACACAGCTCGCCTCGAAAACGGTAACTTCTTGAGAGAGGAAAAAAAAACGATGAGTCGAGAGTTGAAAAAAAATGGCAGGTAGTGAGACAGCCAGCTAGACATATACATATATAGAGTCCAAACGGTGGTAACATATATTATACGTATAGGCTGTGCGCCCCGTTACGTATATACATGTAGACGTACACCCAGTTCTTC